TAATCCTATTTCCTAGCCCTAGCTTACAAATGTAACCTGATTCTGGTTTGTCAGGATGAATAATTCAATAATCATCTTTTAACCATTTATAGATCGTAATTTTTCTAAGTTTTTATGATAAATTCTACTATGATAAAATTCTATTTTCTAATAAATAAAAAGTCGTTTAAAGTCGACCCTAGAGTATAATTTACCGTCGGTTCTCGAATCTAATATAAGCTTTCAGTGATATACACAGAAAAATCTTACTTCCTACCAGATAATCAATAAATCTAGGGTAATATGTCTAAACGAATGTGAACGTTTGAGAAAACAAATATAAATGAAATCCGAATACTGTCTATTGCAAAGTTGTTGTGTAAATGTTTATCGAAACATATGGCGACGTACAGACACATTTTAAATATTCAAAGTTTAGATTTTCGAACAAAATATAGGACTTTATTTACTTAGATTATTTATTAACCATAAAATGTTCATTTGATAGCTAATTTGTTTTAAATTATATATATATATATATATATATAATTACTAAAAACTTACTTTCTGGAGATAAACAGTAATCTATTCACCAAGTGTAGATTTATGTCACAGATTGAAATCATAAGTCAATTGAAGCTAGACCACCATGGAAAACCTGGAAGCACTGGACGGCCGTTTTGTCCTAGTATGGGACTCCTCGGCAGTGCGCATCCCCGCACCTCGCGAGATTCGAACCCAGGATCTAACACTCTCGCACCAGGCGCTTAACCAACTAGATTTATGTATTTGGCCATGAGGTCCATGTATTGCAATAAATTCCCGTTTAATACCTACTTGGCATATCAATATTGAAAATATGTTGAGAAAAATGATTTTTAAATAATATTATCTATCATACACCTTTATTCATCAGCGTTCTGTTTTCTGGCTTCGTTTCTGTGACATCTTTTTTGATTACATAATGTATTTAGTGCGCGAATTCCTGTCACTCGCCCCCTTTTGAACTTGAAGTTTACAAGAAAAACATGTCAACAACTGTGATAGTTTTGCTAAATTTAACAGAGATTATTTTCCCGACAGGTGTATATATATGCCACATGAAGCATCATCATAAGGAATGGATCTTCATCGAAACGCTGGACGAGATTAAAGATAGAAAGAACAAGAAGAAAGCAATAACACCCGAACAAGAGCAGAAAAAGTCAGGGCACAAGCTTAGTACACAGAAGCAAACGAAGAGGTGATAAAGAGCATTAGAGCCAACAAGCAGAAATATGTAGAAGAGCTAACAACGCCAGTGGAAAGTCTCAAGACATGGAAATATGAAACAACAACATGACACAACGAAGAAACTAGAAGGGAAATATAGTAAACCAGAGGGACCGGTCAAGGACAAAGGAGGCAAGACAGTCACCGAGATTCAAGAACAGAGGAACAGATGGGTGGAATACTTCGAGGAACTCTTGAATAAACCATTTCCATTGAATCCATCGGATATCGAAGCAACACACACAGACTTTCCTATAGTTTTCACTCCACCTACGATCGAAGAAATCAGGATGGCCATCAGATAAATCAAGAGTGGGAAAGCAGCAGGACCTAACAATATACCAGCTGAAGCACCAAAGTCGCACACAGAAGTAACTGCAAATATGCTCCACATTTTATTCAGGAAGATTTGTGGGGAAGAACAAGTGCCACTGACAGACTGGAAAGAAGGATGTCTGAGATAATCAACATCATACGACGGACTACAGTGCAAAGTCGTGTACGGAGGACAGCTGACAGACTCATTCCAAGTGAGGATGAGAGTTAGATAAGGTTGCTCACTCTCTCCCTATCTCTTTCTTCTGGTGGTCAGCTGGATTATGAAGATCTTCACATCTGAGTACAAGCACGGATTACAATAGACAGGTTGAATGCAACCAAACGATTTGAACTTCGCAGTTAACCTAACCCTTCTATTTCATACACATCAACAAATGCAAGTCAAGGTAAACAATGTAACAGCAGTATGCCTCAACATACATAAGGGAAAAACAAGAACCTCAAACACAACACAGAGAACACTTGATGGGAAAATTCTGAAAGAGGTGGAAACGTTCATGTATCTGGGCAGCATCATCGATGAACAAGGAGGATCTGATGCAAATGTAAATGCGAGGATTGGCAAAGCAAGAACAGCATTCCTACAGTTGAAGAACATATGGAAACTAAAACAACTGCCAATCAGTATCAAAGACAAATAGGCATACGACAAGTATCTGTCATATTAGTTTAATTGAGATAGTAACTGGACATACTATTTGCAGATAAATTTGATAAGCTGGTTCATTATTCTACATCTTTCTTTCGAAATAGACACTCAAACTTCTAACTACAAAAATATTAGGACAACAATCCTTATTTTTACAATCAAGACTGATATACCTTAACAGAACATTTTATAACTAATGAACTGCAAATACTTACTAAATAGATAAATTCCTTATTAATGACAATTTTCACTTTCGCATTTACCTTTATTTGATTAGATTCTACGGTAGACAAGCAATCTATCCAAAAATTTAGATATGTTCTTAAATGAACTCTTCATCGTGTAGTGACCTACTTTTATGAGAAGAACGCGATTGTCATAATCAAAACAATTATTATTATAGCCAACTGTACCAGTGATTGTTTTACTGTACCTGTTTAAGTGTACCAAAAAACTCACTCTTCCGTTGTTTGTGACCTTGCACGAACTCTCGTACGCCCAATAGTCCCGCTCGTAAACTTTGGTACGACCTCGATATTATTTCGATACCACGAGATCGCCAACAAATACATCTTACTACAACCTTCAACTGTCTTCTGATATTTGGTCTACGGAGGGATCTAACCTGGTAACTGGAACGTGGTCTTCCTGTAGTGGTGATCATTGTCAACCGCGACTCGACGCCTACTACAATTGTCTATATTCTTTTTAATGTGATCTTAATTGTCGCAAGATAATGACAATGTGGTACGCTTAAGAGTTACATCTGTTTAAAATCTCCGATATTAATTACTTCTTTTACTAAGGACAATTGTACACATTTCCAATGTAATCAATTACATTCGACTATGACCATTGTATTGTAAATAACCAAAACTTTTGTCCAAAATCTAAATGAATAAACATCAATTCTGATAAGCCTATGGTGTTTGATGGATCGAAATGTCGCTTGAAAGTTGTGTTAAATCTTTATCGTCAAATAACTGTGTGCTTAATATCATTGACAGGGTTGTAATAAAATGGATAGATAGATAATTACTAAAATGCGATTGATTTGACAAACGTGAAAATTTTTGTTTTATTGTCTTTTATTTTACTTTGTCAATCATTCAGTGATCAAATCAAATATGTTTAGATCATCCATGTGTTCTTTCCATTTCATTAATTTAATCAAATAAAAATCAATTATTCTCCTATGATAATTATCGAGCTACATAACCTTAATGTTTATGTAGACACGAACAACCATGATTTGAACAGCTGATTTAAGAAAAAAAGGCCTTAAAAAATGAATTAATAAACTATTAAAATGATCATTGTCCTGACAATAAAAGCGATTAATTCATCGACTAAACACTTTTTCTTTAGCATCCAAGCTGGTACTGGTAAAATATCGTACAATAAAACACAAATCTGTCAAATAACTGAAATTTTAGATTGATTAGAGAAAAGATCAATATTATTGTTTTTCTGTACACATTTCATTTGTTTATCTATCTTTCATTACATTTAAAACGAAGGGAATACAATGATTTCAAATCAAAGCGATAAAAATAGTGAAAATCATGGGGTAATAAAAAAGAACCATAACCGAAGAAAGTACATGGACAATTATGAAATAAAAAAAGGGAAAGTTTAAAACAAATAAATGTCTGTTGCCTCACATTTTACATTTCCATAATTCGTCAAAACATAACAAAACAAGGAATTACCAGATTATGAGAGGATAGGGGGAAAACCAACTATATACAGATAGGGCGAGGCGAAGAAGCTGGTAGAAAGTAACAAAGCAATATGATTGTGGGTGTGCATTCACAGACAATAAGAGACATTGTGCAGCAGACAAGGATGACAGAAAAACAGTAGAATAAATTCATCGATAACTTGCGATTAAGAAAGACAGCTATCATAAACAGGGAAGTACAAAAAGATCATTATTACTGGTGTTCTAATTATTATTAATATTGTTATCATTATCAAAGTAGTGGTAAATGCTTTGTGTTTTGAAACATATGGAAGAGAAAAGTAGCAATGATAAGAAAAAAACATGATGACGCTGAAAATCAGAAATGCTATACACAAAACAAAAAGGTAAATCAAAAATTGTTAACTACAAAACTATTAAAATCTTTAAGAAAAAATGAAACACGCATACACAATGCACATTCGATGTGATTATACACACTATTTACACACCATGATTGGATAGTGGAATTAAGTAATTTCATATATATATATATATATATATATATATATATATATATATACTTACACAACATTGAATGGATTGTTGATTAGTTTCCTAAATTAACGATCAAGGCACACGAATGTACAAAATAAACAGAAGCGAAAAATGACTATACTTATAATGAGGCGCTACACACGTACAGATAATATGGTAACCAATAGACTAACTACCTAACGATTAAGCAGTAATTATAATGATATAGTGTTGATGGAAAAAACATACTTAGCTAAAAATAAGAGATGTATGAGTTGCATTTCTTATGGTTATTATACAAATCTCTCTCTTTCTACATAGACATATAACCAATAGGTACTACGATAAATTAGTGACAAAAGAAAGTTATAATTACTCAAAAATTCATTGTTTAAATAGCTGTTAATACACAGTTTACACTGGGTTGTATGTATAGATTTATGACAGGATAAATGTGGGTTTGGTAAAAAGATGTTCACAAAATAAGTGGATTAAAAAAGAATACAAATTTTCCAAAAATAAAATAGTAATCCAGTATAATCATCCAGATAGCTCTCTTGTCACAAAAGACATGGGGAAGAATCCAATCTAGACAAAAAAGGAATGGAGAAATAACAAGAACAATACGAATTACACTAAATTACTTAAATTTTTACATTATATACATCAATGACAATTATCACTACAAAAATGATAAACATTTAGAAAAGTAGTGAACAGTTGTTATTAATTCATTAAAAATAACACTCTATAAAAATCAGTTAAGGATAGAATAAGCTGACAAGTTTTTGTTATAAAGGAATATAGATCATATAATATTCGGTAACATAATACTTATCTCACTGAGAAGATTGAACTAGAATGAATTTATTCAGATTGAATTGTGTAATCAATGCTAGACAGTTATCAGATGGAATTGATGAAGTGAATTGAATAGTTTATACAGTTATTTTTTGTATAACAAATTATGTTCTACTTTAAAAATTAACAATAAAAACTTACTGATATTAAGAGAGGTTAAATGAAATTAAACAATCACTGAATAAATTTATTCTAACAATGTAGTTTGATTTTTCAAAAATATTAATAAACTATTACGAGCCATAGCTACCGCTCCTAATCATTTCTAATAAAAAACCTTTAACAGCATTATGAAGATATAGAAATTAAAGATGAATTACTTTACCGGAAAAGAACTATTTGACGAAATATCTTTGGTTCCTCAGTTCTTCCGGTAAGCCCCAGGCTAAGTCTACACAGCAACATGAACACAAGAGAGAAGGCGTGAAATATGGAAGAAATGCTGTACTCCAAGGTTCGTCTATGTACAGAAAATCTAGGGTATTTATAACATTTTAGATGGCCTTGGATTTCCAGAAATTTCTGAAACGCTAATAAACATAATAGTAGTATAGGTAATCATCCAATCAGAAACGCGACATATGAATTCACTTTCTAGATGTTTTTCGTAAAGCTTCTATTGAATGCTACCTGGATAAGATGTTTTTCAGAGTTTTTAAAGCTTATTGAGCTTGTTTTCGAGGAATTTTCTGGATCACCCTAACAATGATCATTACTGTAAGACTATGAACTATTCTATATATTACATTAATTTGCATGAAAATTAATACAATGTAAGTTTTGAGACGAATGCAAAACAGGTATGAAAGAGAGAATTTATTTACTCTTAGAAAAAGCGATTATATACAAAAGAAAATTACTGGTAATTTCATAGTAGGGAAGCGTGACTACTTGAAAATAAATAAGTAAAAGACTAATTAGTGAAAATATTTGAAGTGTTAGTGTAAGTCAAAACAATTTAATATGATCACGCAACAAAACAAAATGTGAACGACACTGAATCATTGATAGTCATAAAAACTTCTCGTTAAAACTTTAATTTTATTAGGAATTAGTAAAATGATGAATACTTTGACATGTAAACGATTCTTTAGAAAATCCAAAGGAAAATTAACTAGAAACGTTTTTAAATGACGTGAAAAATAACCGATATTTCTAAATATTGAATGGTTAAACCTAATATTGAAAATAGACTGGGTCGTTAATTCGGTTGAGTATGAAAATATAACACAAGGGTTTCACAATGTTAACATGTGAAAAGAGACGTATAAACTTACACGACCATTTAACCATCCCTTCCACCAGCCTCTGTCTTCAGCTGCACGACTAACTACAGCAATTCGATCACCTCCTTTCAAATTCAAGAAACGACTATTAGACGTATCATGAAAATCGAAATTTGCACGAACATAGAACAATGGTGATGCTATGTAAAATGAAAGAAATACAGTTTGATAATGAAAAAGTACGTTAACCTTGATAATACATTCACGTACATTTTAATTAATATGTCCCACTAACTATATAAAACTATATACAATCTATACATGCCATGAAATCAGCTACAATCATAGTGAAAATGAAGAAATAAACAAACGGATAAATTAAATAAAATAAATAAATTCGAAATTCTAAGATACATTAGTTTAGTTTATTTATTTGATATTGAACATGATATAAAACGGTTTGAAACATAAAAAATAGAAATGGTATTCACATTTTCACATCATACAACATATGTATCTCATTCAATTTAGTTTGACTAAGTAATGTTTAGAAATTAATTCAAGTTGTACTTCAAAACTACACTAACAACCATTAAATAGTTTTATCATATAGTGGTAATTTTTTTATCAATGATAAAATCTATTAATTTTGAGAAATGAAGTTTCCATTCGAATCCTTCTTACTTTAGACGTGACAAAAGTAGTACAAATTTAATTGTCAAAGAAATCAATTTTCAATGTTTATTTTACCAATCACCTGACAACTCAAATACATTGATGAATAGACACAGAATGAAAAGAAAGAAGTATTCTATAAAGTATTAAATGAAACATTTAACTTGTATCTTTTATGCAAAATATACCTATATTCTGTGCAAATGGTGTTTGATGGTCAAAACTATAACTAACAAGTCAATCTTAGCTTAAATTTTGGTGATCTTATGAAATATAATACACAGACAAGGATTTCTCTCTCAAAAGACATGATGAAGTCTGAATGTCAAAGCACTCCGATGACCTTTGTCTGAATAAACATACTAATAAGATTATTTTTACCTATAAGATAACAAACCTGAGATAAATTGCCATTTAATAAACGATCATAAAAATCAGAATACAATGAGACCAAACCTTTACGCAATTGATGGACACTGGTCAAAACTTACCTGATAAAAAAGGGGATTGAGGTGGAGAATTCAGGATACATTATTATAATGTATTATGAATGATCAAAGAAACTTTATTCAACCTGACGTGTTCCAAGGAATATGTGTGTTAGCTTAGTCATCTTGAAGTAGTTAGTACAATTTCTAAGCATCACCGAATAATTGGAATATTTAGCAATTCATTCAATTATGAGCAACTTAGAACCTTGCACATATGTGTATCCATTCAATTTGATAAACCATAACAACACAGTGGGATGAAATTATCAAGACAGATGTCAGAGTAGTAGAAGTAGTAACAGTATCAGTGAGATGTGCGGTGGTATAAACCATTAGGCATAGACAATATAGTTCGAGAGGAAAGAATGAATTCGTTAAATAAAAAGCATATGTATGAAACTCAAGATCTAAGGGAAAACATAGTGAATGTATATGTGGTATTGTGACTGACTCTGACCTACTTCACCCAATCTCCAATTATTCATTACAATAATCTTGATGACCTCAAATGCACCTACCGACCTCCTTTAATGAAACAGTTAGTGATTCTATTGGCCGACGTGACTTATTGATTTGCCCACCCCTAGCTTTCCCCCACTTTATTTTACACAAGCAATCATTACTTACTGAAGTAGACGATGGTACAGTAAAGAAGATCAAATACAGGTATATATATACAAAACCGAAAGGTACGTAGTAGAAAAGTATGGGTAATAATAGTTAACTTACAAGGACACTTCTGGTAGGGATAAAGTAATGTGATGTCAACTTCATCGAAGCACCGATTTAACGACACTTTGGAGTAGTTGTCAATTACGCACTAAAGAGATAGACACGTGGGGAGAAATGTATTCAATGTATGTGTATTATTAGGAGTTTATACTTTACAACATCAAGTTTCAAAAAATTATAAAGAAAATACTTCATGATTGTATGCTATCAAATCCTTTTTGTTGATAAAAAATGCAGATTTTGAGAATTTCCAGAATCACAAAAAAGTTGTTATTCCCGCATAATGAACCTTACTTAGAAATAAAAATACTGTTACTAATACATCTACATTCATCAAATACTTTGGCGTATACGCGACTCACTAAAATGTTTCAGGACACAAATAGCTACAAATATAGATTGGTTATTGATTGAAAATTTTATTAACTGCTTTGGTAAATGTTTATCAGATCTTTTTTACTGAATATTCAAAAGAATATTACGTACTTGCTAAATTTCATTGACTATCCACACTAAAACTAACTCTTAATGACTACTCTTCAACTAAATATCTGTTTTTTATTGTCCGAGAACATTTACGTGAAATCTTTGAGATATAGATTGATAACTGAAAAAAGTGATTAAGGTGCTTCGGTCGTATAAGATTTATACATCTCTTGTTTTCAAAGACCAATATATATCTCACGCATAGTATGAAAATTAAACGACTAGTAGATTAATGAACTACTTTTCTCGATAACGTTGAAGGGACGTTTAGTGATGCCTATTTCGACGTACAGAACTGTAACTAGAGAAAAAGTTGGCAATAGGTACTTCGTGTTCAACTTTTTGTCTCTTCAGTAATTAGCTACTAACTATAGTCTGAAAATATTTCAGTAGTTTGTTTTTATTTCGATAATATATTTCATGGATTTGAAAATTTACATGAGCTTAACTACGAAAATGATATGTAGTTCGATGATGAAGGTAATGGCTAGTGAAATCTAAGTGAAAGTGTGCTATGAGTAAAGTCATCCACAGAACTTTAACTCGTCTTGCTCAATTTTATCTTCGCTCATAGGTCATATGGTCAAACCACCTCTAATAACCTGCATAATACTAGTTGAAAGAAAGTATGAGCATTCATATGTTTCGATAGCCTCAGGAACCGACGAAGTCAGTCAGTCATACAAAACCAACAAACGTCACTACAGGAAATTATCTTTCAAGAAATTTTAAACAACAATCATTTGGAAAACAGTGAAATTAAAGAACAATGAACAAAAACCTTAACCTTCACTCGAAAATCTCAACCAAGTTCCAGTAAGAATAATAATATTAATAATAAACACTAGCTTATTAGTTAACAAAGAAAACATACCGGTATATTTGGGAATTGTTCTAATTCACAAAGACCATATGTAATACAAGAATTATCAGATGATGAAAAACGCTGTATACGAATATGCCGTGGATGGCCGTATACAACAGATAGTGAATATTCTCCCATTCTTTCAGCACTTTTAGACAGACGTACAAGAAATGTACCGTCAATACAATTACTTAATAAATTAACAGCTTCAAGTCTGTCCATTTCACCAACATACCTATTATTTGCATCAACAAAAATAGACATATAAGTTAGAGAAATAAAAATAAATCAATTAGGCAGAAGCGAGTAAAACGAATAGAAAAACAGTTGGTTGAATGAAAACAGTAAAATGCCAACATACAAAACGATTAGTTATAACAGTATATATATATATATATATATATATATATATATATATATATATAACTCGAATTAAGCATGCTTCCCTCGTGCTACTGTAAAAGTACACAAATATCGAAGAAAAAAAAAACAAAAGAAAAGGTTATCTGGAATTTAAGAAATTATTGAGAGAAACAATTATATACATACCCATACCAATGAAATCTTAACAAGTATGACATCATTTGAATGTTCTGATGAATAGAGGATTCTTTTTTAGTTAAATAAAATTATTTTGCATTCTATATAATACAAATCAACTATTCATAATAATCAGCATGAATAGTGTAAGTTTTGTTGAGAAAAACATGTTATAAAAATGTTAACCGATGTTGATAATTATCAAGTACATCAGTCAATAAAATTATTCTAAAGTAAACTTATTTATTGTTGATGTTGACTATATAATGGCTTTGTAGTAAGATAACAATAATGTTTAAAAAAACAATTCCAAGCCGTTCACATTCATCATCCTGTGGATGAAGCATATAATAAACTGCTGGATAATCAATAACGACCTGAAACAATGAATATATACCTTCAGATATAAATTAAAATGCAAGGAATAAGAATTTGCATCATTTTAAATGATGTGATTATACACTGCAAATTGTTGCATCTTGTCGATAACTGATGAAAGCTATAACGAAATAACTATGAGATTCCCAGGTAATATAGTCATAAATTAGAAAATTATTTGTGATACAACGATATTACGATTGAATAACAGTTTGGTATTATTTGAACTTGAATGATCATTCAACTGACATAGTTATGCAGATGAAACTTGTCTGCTAAATACAGGTTTATTTACTTGGGACTTTGAGTCACAGTATTTATGAGAGAGCTAGTAATCCTACCCAACCTTCGAAAGTGAAATAGGTACAGTATGGTTCCAATATATGACCTACTGCTGGCTAAAAGCTAAATTTCTCAGAAACTAAACCACCATCGAAGCCTATATATTTAACACTAGCTAAGATTACTTATATTTCAAAGTGTAACAATAGTTAATACCATTAATTAACTCAGAAATCAAAACAAATATCAGTGTATACATGACAAAGAAGTTTTGTCACATCTACGGAGAATATACTAACAAGACACAATATATCTACAAAGACAAAAATAAAATGTATTCAGGCAAATGATGAATGCACATTTAAAGATTGATTGATCACACAACTGTTCAATTCAATTATTTATCATAAACAAAAAGCACAGGTTTATTTTGGAAATAAAAATTTTGATGTTGTAAACACATATAATTCTAGTATCAGAAGGGGTTTCGTGGAGATTGTAGTAATTTCAATAGTTAAGATCATGAGTCAATTGAAGCTACTGTCTACTGAAATCTTGCAACTCCATTTGTATCCATTGTAATGTTAAATTGATTTACAGCAAGAACTAAACAAGTCATTATATAATATTAATCATCAATTACACACCGAATAATTATACAAAGCTATTCATGTTCAGATATGAAATTCATCAACAAATAATAAATAAATAGTGTTTACTTGATGTTTCTACTTAGTTAAGTATATCAGGAAAGGTAAATATCAAACTTTAAAACCAAATCGAATTATTTAATAGATTTGTTGTTTCATAAAACTTAAACTACAATTTTAAATGAGGAATTTCTTGTTGACCTAGTAGATTTTGTTGTATTATCCAATGACTACATTCAGCTCACATATTTATCGACAGTAATTACATTAGCATTCACAGAATAAATTTGTTAATCTGAATATATAGTTCTCGATGATATCATTGTCTTAATGTCTAGAAATAAGATCGATTTTAGCCGACTAAATACTACTTAAAATGAAAAAGAATAGTAAACTGTATATCTTTGTTTTCTCATTCATTACTAACAGCATTCTTTATGTCAGAATTAAGTATATTTTCTTAGTGTTTTTACAGTTAAGCAAATTCAAGATTAATGTTTATTTAATAACAACTGATGATTTGATCAGCATACCAATCATTACAGGTGACAGGTACCGTTTAAGTTACATTCTGTAATAAACTTGAATCTTCATAATCCCATTAATCAACTTATAAGTTCTTCAAGACATTTGTCGTCCAGTTTCAAATTTATATAAGAAATTAACTTGATCTCCTGAATTTAATACCAAGTAATTTAAAATTAATGATATTTTTTATAGCCGTTTATCACAGAACACTACTGTATTTATACTAGTATTCATTTGTTTATTCAATAAATTCTGTTGCTATAGCCAAACAACAAAATGCATACAAGGAATGTACACCACATCTTTTTATTTTAATATAAAAGACACATAAAACATAGTAATAATAATGTTAGGTGGTTGGAAATAGACTGCGGGAAACACTATCTGAACACGGTTTCGTGCTAGTTAGCATTCCTCAGCAAGGAGTATCTGTAATATTGAGAGAATTAATGCTTTGCACTAGATTAGAATCCATGTCACCCAAATTCAGTCTCGGACATTCGAATCTAACATAGAGTGTCAGATCCCTTGAAATTGCGGGTAAACCTTACTAAAGAGTCTCAACTCGCATGAATCCAAAGTCAAGCAGAGTTTTCTGCCTACTACCTTCAGCCACCTGAAATTGAAAAATAGTGAAGGCGATGTTAAATCATTTATACTAGTAGCCTCATTTCTACTTAATCGATGGAATTCAGTAATCTCTGAGGTCTAGACAGAAATGACGTTAGTCAATATTCAATTATCAATCAACCGATTAATTAGTTAATTAAACAGCAATAATAATGCCAGCAAGTTATCGATATTTTGGCATAGGTTGGCTTTTCAAACCTTTAAAAATAGTAGAAAAAGTATGCATGGGCATAATATATTCTCTTAAACTGTGGACAAAAAAACAATATCAAACCAAATAGTGTAAAATAATTTATGAATTATAAATAAAAACTACAAATTGTACATAGAGTAATATAAAACAGTCAAATGACCATGCAAAATGACACATAGCAATCCAGCAATTAAGGTAAACAAACCCAAACATGCAAATTATATACATAAGATGGACACACAGCATAGAACTGTAAAGTAGCTATCTAAGCAAAGTGATAAAAAAGCCTGATTGAAACAAGTATTTACATGAATAAAATTTAGAAATAAAGAACAGACAACTACTGGACAGAATTCCGTTCAAAGGCTTTAATTTAACTCCTAATATATTGACAAGTATTTTGATGTTTAAAATTTATTGTGGTTGACATTAGAAATAGGAAAATGCTACTAAAAAAATGATAACACTACACCGTATTGGAACAATATTTCTTGGAATTGGAAAAAATTGATTACTTTAGATATTTTTCTACAACGATAAATAAGAAATACACATTTCATATTATAAATGTACATTATACAAATAAATAAAGATGCACAGATTACCAGGGAAAAGTCGACAGAAAGTAATGTGAATGGTCCATCATTAGATCTGTTGGAAAATTTTCAAATCTCGAGGTGACTGTTGCACTAACTGTTGCAGTTTGTGTAGTTGACAATACTGATGGAACTAAATCAATACACTGAGATAATTCGGGAATTTCCAAAGCTGATAAACTACGCTTTTTCAAACGTCGAAACATTAATGGAGGATATGAATTATTTATATTCATATTCACTGGGATAAGAGATGTTAATGATGAGCAAGGAGGACTAGGAATATTATTATAATTATTACCGACGATAGGCGATAGACTGTTATTTAAAGTTTTATTTGCTATTGTACATAAAGGTAAATTGGATGGAGACGTTTCATTTGGTAAAAAGAAAGGTTTCTGAACTGAAGAATTATTATTATTATTAAAAACTGTTGTTCGATCAGAACTAGACGATGAAGATACTTGATGAGAAAATCTTGTACTGCTTGGCTAATTAAAATAAAAATGAAAATGAATAAAGTAAATATCCCTAAATTTATTAAGACAATCAATAAAACTAGTATACACATAAACATGCTCAAAAAGGACAGAGCACATGCATTACATAGAAAATATATAATATACACTAATGATCAACTCGTGCAAATCAAATTTCCAAATAAAAAGCAAATAAAAATATAAATAGACACAACCGAGCTAGAAAAACAAAAAGTGTCGAAACAGACCAGTCATAGCCAGTAAGAGGATCATGACTGTCTACGAGTGACGTGACAGTCTGTCTGGTTTGACGTAGGCAAGTATCCACCAAAATATTATTATTGTTGCTATTATTATTATTAGTAGTAGTAGTACAGTTATTGTTTAATTTATTGTGTTGATGAGGAAAGTGTTCCAGATCGAAGTTTAAACAAATTTCTTTGGAATTATTTGTTGAAATTGAACAGTCTGGGGGTAAACTGTGCCGAGAAGGATGCCCTATCAAGGTCGACAGCGACATAGCTGGATTGTTGGTAAATGTTGCATTCGAAGTACCAATCTGAATTTATTGATGAGAATGCAATCCAAAGAAAATAAATAAATAAGTAAAGGCTTCACAACCGATTGTTGTGGTCCATTAATACTTCATTTAATTACTTGTTATCAGGAAAAAAATAAAATGCATTCATTCAATCTTAATATACACATTCATTTGGGAAAAAAACATTTAGTTCAACCAAGAATTACTATCTAAATCAGATGTGAACAAACGTTTTTAATATGAAGTACCATGTTCTGTCATAATAATTTCAAATTACCTTAGCTTCAATATAGATCTGAAGAATCACCTAATGTAGTTTTCCCAGCTTAGATCGGAATCATAAGAAATTTCGGTGAGACTACAATTTATGTACGACCTTCAAGTGACACTAAAGTCTCTTTGAAAATGTCCACCTACTTACTAGTGTTAAATAAGGGTTATAAACCAGTGTGAGGAATTAGGATTATGAGTTACAGTCGATGGTTAGGGTTAGAAATGAAATTTGTTGTTTTCATCACGAACTGACATCACCTATAATGCCGAAATGCTATTTAGCCAAATGGGTGAAGGGATTTCGCGCCAAAATCCAAGACCTATTACCTTAAATTTGATTGATTTGTCCAGAAATGTTAATCAAGTAATAATTGTCATCACTCCCCATTAAAATAGTCATAAATTAGAATCATCTAGATGAGTTGATATTAGCAGAAAAATAAGTCTTACATACACCCCGGAGGTATTAGAATGTCGAATGAATTAGAACAAGACAAGTAATAACCATATGATGAGCTATAAGTTGAAATCATTATCTTGTGTATCTAATTTACAACGATACTTGAATGCTCTATACCAAACAGCTCAGAGAAAGAAATTCCATCAAAATCATCTTCTTGAAATACAAATCTTCAGCACCACCTATTGTCTCAAAGACACTTAAATTTTACATGTTGAGGTTCAAATTGTCATTCGGACCTTAAATAAAGAGCTTGTTGACCAATCGCAGAAAAAAAATGGTAAAAGAGAGAGAACAACTTACTTTATTCATTTTATTATTCACCACCATTTCAACGAGATTAGCAGGGAACCAACCTTCAGACCCATCACAATAACCCTGAATGTTGATGATTTGAAATTTAAAAAATTAAGAAAGGTAGTTAATAGAATCAAATTAATCATCGATAAGAATTAATGTGGATATAGTTGAATGGAAACTACTGTTTGGAGACAGTATAGAAGTATAACGAAGTTTATGGAATGTTTATATTCGAAAAAACACCCAGTTCTTATCTAAAATAGCATACAAGTAATTATTTAATTTTGTGGAAAAAAACCGATAACTAAGCAATCATTCTTGTAACAATGAAAAGTTTACTTACTTCTAACCCGCTCTTTTGGACAAAATCATGAATATTTACATTGCATCTAATCAAATAGGCAATTATGAGTCAATGAAATTATCAAAAATAATAAACAATATAGAATGTACTGATGCAATCTCAGTAGTGGGTGTCTTCATCAGCTTTTTTGAAATGGAGAACATCGTCTTTAAAATATCTTTTGGTATTCAAGTGAATCCATGATGGTTAACGTTAGAGATGAGCTAATAATTGGTACAGGTGGAACTTTTAGAAATATTTTACAGTGGGCTATGACGTATACATCTACTGTGTATATATTGGATATTTACTTTATGGTAGTTTTTTATATTGTCTTGATTATAGGCTCTCATTTAAATCGTTAACTACTGAAATATGTCTTACTACCCATAAATTATCTCCAATCGATTATGCATCCGTTACTCAGTTTGTATTATAAATGACCTAGTTATGTAAAAATTGTGATATCCTATCTGTAGTATGTTATAGTCTTTCAACAGATGTACATTATCATGAGTTCTTAAGCCACGTACAGACAACAACAAGGTTGAGTGTTTTCGTGTTCTGACTAGTCAGTGAGGATAGGAATTGAGTGGATCAATATGCGTTAGGTTTTCAATGGTGTCATTGTCCAAGCTAATGTTTATAATCATATTGGCGTAAAGCAAAACACTATTCGTCGACTCGGTCACTTAGTGAACTGACTAGGTGGATATCAAAAAGTTGAATCCATAACGGAACGTTTATTCATCTATAAGTCATAAGTTTGAATGTTGATCGACTTACTTTGTCGTTTCAGAGGATAAGTAATATTACTAGTCTCCATGTACAAAACATCCTGTAAAGTTAAGTCTATAAACTTGTACTTATCAGATGATTGCGGAGTTAGTTCAACGGCATCATAAAGTCAAATAAAGCTTTTGACGGGTAACATTCAATAGTGAATTACTCAGTCCATACAGTCAATCAGTTATTTCCCTTGAATGAAATCATTGTTTTCAACTAAAAATTTACAAAAGCATTGCTTGTGTCTACAAATAATGCAGTACAGAATGATTTAAGCTGTATATATTCAAAAATAAAGAATATGTTAACGTATACTGAATTTACGGAAACTATAAAGTTACACAGTAATGTATAACTGTTGGTGGACATGCAGAACCAAATATTGCATAAATGTAGCTAAAAAGCCAAGTAAACAAATCTGGTCGTTAATATCTTATACTATTGATAATAAAGAAATCCACAAAATTTATGTTCAGTGGATATTAAACTACATGTTATAGACTTTACGTATTCAAAATTGACAAAAGTTCATTTTTAGTAGGTAGTTGTTCGTCGATAATAGTAGCAATAAAATTGGGATTATTTTCTGTGACATATATACTATCGATGATTTACATGACTATAATTCAATAAGCATCGGAAAACATATAATTACACAATGTTAACTTTTGAAGGAAGACCCGAAATTTTGAAATATGTCATAACAAAATCAGTTTTATCATAATCTTGGAAAACATATGATAGACAAATAGATAACAAACTATTCCCACTAGTTTAGTATAATCTAAGGTCACTATGAAGTACATGTGTGATTAGATTATGTATATTTTGAAGATTAGGTGACTTGTTAGTGTGCAAAGATTGATATTTAGCTAGAGAATTTAATAATATAGAGATGATTATTATATTTTCAAATAGTTTACAACTTTCAGTGGTAACTTTAAAGAGATTACAAGTCATAGATAAATAACTATATATTGAACTGAATATATCATAATGACAAAACTCACCTGCCACCATGATGAGCCTTCAGTCCATTTGATCAATTCAACTTGATCTCCAATTGATAATCTCAAAGGATGACTACCTGATGGTGGGAGAGGATCACCATCATATGCTTTTCGTGCTATAGCAAAAGTTGGATTCACTGGAGGAATACTTGATGTAGGTAAACCTGAAGATATACGTCGATTACGTTGTAAAGTGACATTCGACAGATTGTTATGATCAGTTGCAAGCCAGTGGTTCACAGAAGATAATGTATCAGTTAACTGTGAGAAGTCAAATGATTCTGAATTAGATAATGAGTTGTTTCCAGGTGTACATGGCACACTTCCCATCGTTACATGAGAACGTCGACTACGTACTGTATTGATCTGTGGAGGTAATGGCGGTGGGGCACTTGGAGGAACTCCATTAATATGTGGATTAGCCATACCACGCAGTGGAAGATTATGATTGGCAAGACAACTTTTATGTGCAGCTCGATTTGTTTCTGCATATAGAAAGTAAAATAAAGTACTCTGATATAAAAGAGTATAAAAGGGTATAAAGTACTCTTTTAGTATCAATCAATTAAAACATTACACAGGGCGTTAGTACGTTTACCAAGATTGTAATATATGATACAGCGAATAAAAAGAAAACTACTGCTACACAGCTTTAAATAAGGAGAAGTTGATCAGAAGTCTACGAAAGTCACACATTTGATTACCACTTTCGGATAAAAAAAATCGACTTTAACCAATTTGCAATTAAATCAAGTAAATATAGAGAAGCGGAAGTGATTCTTTCTTTTCTTGTGTCATCAAAATAAGTTGATCTGGAAGAGGGGAATGCCAGTTGGCGAGACTGTTATTTGTGGACAAACCAATGAAATTACGTCATTGGTCCAAATAATTAAACAGAATTTTGGCATTATAGCTTATATCAGTTCGTGATGAAAACCCTGGCTCTAATTTTTAACCCTAATTCTTCATATTATTTTTAACTCTCTTTCGACTCTAGTGAGTTTTCTTAAGGTCACTTTACGTCACTCAAAGGTAATCAATCAATTATAGTTTCAAAGGTCAGTTCTCTTATGTTTCATTCATATCTTATAGCACCTAATTACAAGTCATGAAAACTCATATGATAGGATGGAATATGCAGTTTATTTATATGCGAACTTTTCAAACAGAAGGGTCGATGGAAATACTGGTAACATTGTAGTGATACACTTTGTGCCACAATCTTGTAATAACAAACCAACACCAGTCTTAAGCTTTCCTTATAGTGAAAATAAATTCTTATATTATGATGGTACTACCATGGCACAACAGGGCTTCGAGGAATTAATATTCCAGGCAAAAGAACTCGAATGTCAAATTGACTACTACTCTAAAGACTGAAAGATATGAACTTCGAAAATAAATCGAAGTCACACTTTAACTCGAACTGGAGACACATTATAAAACACCGTATGACTTTTTCGCATATATTATTATCCAAAGTACCTAGATATATCTAATACATTATGTATTTTTAAGTAAGCATCCGTTTCACAAAGGTAAGAATAAGCAAATACAGAAAAAAACACGCTAATAATTTCACTCAGAACAATGTCAGGAAGGTTGTTATATATATGTATATAACAATCAGACTAGACAGAACAAGGTAAACACTATATGAATTAAACAAAACCGATATTAATTCTCACCAAATAGACATGAAAACAAAATAAAAGTATTTATTCTGATCATATATATATTCAGAACGGTGCTGGTATTCTGTAGTGTTAATAATAATTCTAAAGCATGTCTGAAAAGAAATAATCTTTATTATTGTCTTTGTATGAAGCAATAATGCACACTTCAACCGATACATACAAAAAACACATTCAGAGTGAACTTCATTCTTTTAAGAAAAATGACAAAAAATTAACAGAAGAATGAAATTTAATGTTACAACACAATCAGAGGATTAACACGAAAGGTAGGTTAGAATAGAATGACCAACTGTTGAAGATGAAAAGAAGCAGTTTTTTACTTTTATAGTAATACACAAACAAAATATTATTATCACTTGTCATGTTTAATAAGCCAAAACAATGAAAAACTAATTTTTATATTTTGTCTTTTGGCATAAGGGGATTTTGAAGATAACATAACATTGTTATTAGCACACTTACCGGGTATAGGTTTCATGCACTTAACTTTCAGTCGAGTTCTAAATGTGAGGACTAGTTATATCACTAGACTGTTCAGATCGACGTATGTGGAACGGAATTCAACCATATAAATTATTGACTAAAAGTCGAGCGATTTAACCACTGGGTCACTGCTAACGCTTTGCAGTCTATCGAGAATAACAATCATAACATAGAACAGATGGTTATAAAGCATAGGCTTCGAGAAATGTAAATACAGACTTATTGTTTCATTCAGGAAGCTTGGACTGTAACTGCTATATTTTCTTTTTCGCAATCAACAGAAAGTTATTAACTAAAGTTAATATAACTAGTTGAAGGGTTTCCAAGTTGTATACAAAAACTTATATATTTATCTATTGAAACATAAACATTAGTAAAGATGGACATCAAAAGAAATATGTCTCACGTAAAAAGGAAATTATATTTTGAGGAGATAAATGAAGAATAATCAAACTATTTTTTTATTAAAACACATACACATTGGAACAAGAAGGAACCAAATAGATATGAGCCACATAAATCATCCGATTCGTGTGAGGGATGAGATACTGCCTGGGTGCCCAAACCGAAACAGGTGGTCTTCTTAGAGGACCACACCCAGAGCTTTTGACCTAAAGGTCTGATCCACAAGGCAGTAGAGCAACGTCAGGAGATGCAGTTCCGTGGTAGCCGGTAACTAGCAGTTGGTTCGTATGCCGTTTGTTCCTTCAGGATCCTGGAGCCCATGTGCACCAATGGTTTGGAATCAGGGTTTCTCACCCCCCCCCTAGGTAGACCCTTCGTATCCACCAACCCAGTTAAAGCTCCGGACATTCGCTTTTCGTCCTCCCAATTTGGTAAAAAACATCCCCACCACAAGAAGACAGTGAGCAGGACATCCCTTGCAGTGGCTGCATACGCGTGGCCATGTGAGAGCATTTCGAAAGGGAGAGCTGACTCTCCCCGCCCTCGGCCATACCAGGGCCGAGGACAGATTATAGAAGTAAAGATATATCAGTTTAAAAAGTACAGCCTGAAAGAATTCTTTTAGTTATCGAAGTTCCTCTCGTTTTTATAGTAAATGTAAAAAATACTACGGAATGACCATTGTTGACTTCTATTCTGAGCCATGAATGATGTCTTACGCTACCAGCTAACGCCATCTATAGGACTTCAACTAGAGGAGTTCTGATGAACCGACAGATCTCGGTTCTGTATAACACCCTTTGATGCCTTGGTGCCATATCATGAACTAACCATCCCTCAACTCTCTCAAATTAGCCCTAGAATCGCCAAATAAAGCACGATCTGGCAGTCTCTCTCTAAATGCTTTGATAAGGCCAAGGATAAAGAGTTCAAAGTCCATCTCCAAATCCTTTCATATAGCCATGGATTCATAGTCACTGTCAAAGAAGCCCTACGCACTGCTTTCCCACGGAGAGGACATTGTTTACAAAGGTTAGTGGACGAAAAGCCGACATTCTGCGCTTTAACCACATTGGATATAGGAGTTAGAAAACACTAACTCGAAACCAATTGTGTATATGTGCTCTAGGATCCTGAAGCATCGACTGACGTATGAGTCTATTTTTGGTCACCAGTTACCATTGAAATCCATCTCCTGACGTTGCTCCACTACCTTGTAGATTCGACCTCTATGTTAAAGGCTCGAGAAGCGAGGTCCTAAGAAAACCATCGGCTTTAGTTTGGGCACCCAGCCCTCTCATAAATATGAATGAATAACTATAAAGAGAACTGATATCCTTTCTCCGTTTCATCACAAAAAAAATAAACATACATATACATCAGATAACACATAACTATAATCAGTAGAATAGATTAGGTACACAAAACTTAAAAGAGCAATTTCACTGGTGGAACATACACATACAGCCACAAGAATTTAAGGTTATGCTACAAAAAAAGGTAAACTGATTGTTATGAATTTTCGACCACAGAAAGAAATTTAATGCACTACTATTTGGATGCATATAAGGGAGTTGAATGAAACCTTGTCATTGTCATTATTGATTAATGAAGTAATCAAAATTTGATGCACCTATCAGTCTAATACGGCACACACACACATACACACGCAGAGAGAAACAGAAAGATAGCGGAACAGCAAGAATAACATTTATAAGAAAAATATTATTTTCATTAGTAATAACAGTCTTCAACAATTAATTGTGTCATAATCCAGAGGGTTAAAATTTTTGTGCATACTTTAGAGTCGGTGACTGCATGGTTTGATATGACTACTAGTACGACTATTACCAGTACTGATTCAGTAATCAGTCAACCTGAATGCAAAACAGTCAATCTACATATAGGCAGAAGTAGAAGTATTTTTATATATATTTTTAAGCTAACATTATTCAAAACCATGAAGCCAAAGTAGACACACTGGAAAAATTGAAGAAAAAAAGTTCTTGCTCAAATTTTCAAGTGGACCTCAAAGGAATCAAAATCGCGAAATAAAAACATACTCAGCACAGCAATCCTTCGTCGCATTCACATATGAAATAATTAATAAGCACATAAACTAAGAGATTTACTGAAACTGTCATCAAAAGATTTAGACATTATCATATGCCAAAAAAAACATTAATAAACTCCATGGTTTCAATTTCCTAAGTTCAATGATACAATATTTTATAGCAAACTGTAACTGTTTTAAAATCCGATAAAAATATTCTCGTCTATATACAAGCTTTTGTCATCTTACTGAACTATGAGCTCTCTTAGAGTTAATCTCCAAACTTCTGGAAAACTCCGTGCTTCAAAATCAATAATCATGATCAATGGTTGAAGATCTATACTAAATTAGATCAAAACTGATCATAGCGATGTAAATCATTTTTTACTGATGACTAAATGTTGAGTTCCATTAAATGTTCCCATAATTTTTTTTATTTTCTTATCACATTTTATTTATTCAGAACATATCCATTCTAATGAATTTTTATTACGCTAATTGATACTAATTAATGTTCCAACTTCTTTGCTGTTCTCATCTTGCCATAAGATGAAATGTGGCAATTTGAACTGATGAATATTTACGGCTGGTCCTATACTACAATAGCTGATTGTAACTGATTGACTAAATGATTGATAAACTGATTTTTGTAAATAATTGATACAAGTATTGTGGATTGCAAACAATTAAAGAAAATTAACGAATAAAAAATGAATAAATCCATTTTGTTACTGTGTTACAAGTTTGCACTACATATATATTTGTTGATTGTTTAATGCTGTTCTTTTTTTGTGAAACATTTTCCGTTAATAGTGTTAAGGATAAAAATATTACAAAGATTAATTTT